TATTTTAAAAATGTTTTCTTAAAGTATCACTACACAACGCCAGCTTTGACACTACGACTCACGCTGTACATATTAAAACAACAACTTATTACCCATACCATTAGACTGGGGGGGGTAAACAACCCCCACCTGTCACCCAACCACCTGCGCCATGGCCATTTCAATACAAGTATGAAGGTCAGCATTCAATATAACCAAACCCAGGGGGCGGACTGACCATTTGGAAACTCGGGCACTGCCCAAGGGCCTGGGGTTAGTAGGGGGCCCGTTGAGATGCCCCTGGTACCTTTTTCATAGGCTTTTTTGAGTTTGGGCAAGGACACAGGGCCCCATGATCCCCTATTGCCCGGGGGCCCCATGAGTTGTCAGTCCGCCCCTGTCCAAACCTATATCAGATAGATGGATCCAGTCATCTCTATACATACTAAATAATCCACATTCCAATTGCAAATGTCTGAATGAAAACCTGTTAACCTGACTCATAACTATTAATTCTTTTACAAATTTTTTCAAATAATACAACGACTCTAATCACTGTAATCCCAGAATGATTTCAGAGAAAACAATTACCATACCTGGATATATAGAGTGTAAAAACTGAACATCCTCTCTAATTCTTAATTATTATTATTCTTATTAATTCTAATGTCTTGACCTGCCCTATGTAATTTCCCCCATTGTGTAGTAATACAAAATCGGGTCAAGGTCAAAACTGACTTAACTTTCCTAACTCAAAAAACAAATGTGATTAAATCATACCTTGCCGTCCACTCCAGAATACCTTAAAATGGTCCGGGTTCAGGCTCAGAGATTCAGAGTACACTCTGTCCGCAGCCCGTGCTTTCGCCCAATGGATGAAAGAATGTCCCAAAATCCAGACCACCTGAGCGACACCTAAAATGATTTAATTAAAAACATTAGGTCTAATATACAACTTAAAACGATTCGATCTCCATCTTCCAATGTTTTTAATAACAGTGTCATCTAAACCCAACCTGGAAGCTTCTGTGGCTGCTCCTATACGAAAGGAATAAGAGGCTATTTTTATGTGAGACAAATCCAATTTAGAAAGACACTTCTTAAGTACTCTATGAACTTGGAATTTTGTGAGAAAAGAACCACTAACATGTATAAAAAGTACAGAACCCAAGGAAGGTCTTAGTTGCAAATAATCTTTTAGTCAAGCTACAGGACAAATTGGGGAACCACATAATTAATTAAGCCTTATTCAATTACCTTTGCCAAGCTGATCAGTTCTAGATTTACCAATAAAAGGTTGTAAGAAATGATCATGATCAAAAACATCTTGAAACCTGAGCCCAGAATGACATGTCTTACTAGCAGCAAGCAATTCTGATATTCGCAATGCTGTAAAACAGGCCAAAAGAAAATACAGACCTGAACAATAGGGAGAAAAACACACAAAGGTTGTTGTGAAACCCAATCGGTTCAGCAGGTGAGGAGTAATAGCTCTTCTAGAATCCATATTAAAATGACTTTTCTTGTAATCTTGTAAAGCCTGTTACATTGAAAAGAAACTCAAAAAGGAAGGCAAATTCCACAGTTTTAGCAAAAATGCCCAAAATTGTTTTATAAACATGCTTGCAGGAATATCCCTTTTTCTGAAAATTGTCAAAGAAAAAACAATACAGAATTTTCAGAGAATGCATCTCAACTTTCTGGAATGAAATCCAGAAAAGATAGCCAGCTAAACCAGGCCAATCTATATCCAGTAATCGTCAAAAAAGACTTTTCAATATTTAGAAAAATTACACTTGAGCCCTGCTTCACACTGATGCGGTGCAGAATTCTCAGCGTTTTCATTGCGAATTCCGCACCTCATCAGAATTGCACCCCGCTGATGTGAACCGCTGCGGGTGTGTATGTTAAGTTAACAACACCCCAAAAGCAGTTCACAAATTGCGGTGCGATGTGCAGCACCGAATCGTATAGGTGTGAATACCTATGCAATCCGATTCTAGTGCAGACCCAAAAAGGGTCCTGCACGTTTTTGGTGCTGGTGCCATACAAACAGAGCCATACAAAATGTATGGCTCCAATCGCACCGCACACAAATCGCATGTGATTTGCACAGAAAAGCAGTGCGGTTCCTGTGCGAATCACATGCGATATACCGCACCGCATATATGTGAACCCAGGCTAAAGGAGATCCCACAAATGAGGAGGACAATCCATCCTGACTGGGTCTACTTCTGGAAATAATTGTAAGAATTCTGTCATCTGAAAGCGAGACAAAGATTCCGCCAGAACATTACTTTTACCCGCAACATGTTTTGCTTTTAGCCAAATATTCAAACTAAGACATTTGTAAATGAAATATCTCATTAACACAATAACAGGCATGGACATAGAAGACAAACAATTGATAGCATACATAATGCCCTTATTATCCGTACTTAGAAAAATGCGCATATTATGAAAAGAAGACCCCCATAATTCTACTGCAACAAAGACAGGGAACAGTTCAAGCAGAACTATGTTTTTCTAAATAAACTTTTAATCTCAAGTTTGAAGTTCAAAGTTCAGCACACCAATGTGTACATAAAATGGCTGCAAAGCCAACAGAGTCAGCAGCATCAGTAAAAAGCTGCATATCCGCATCCAAAACAAAATCCTGTTGCTATACCGCCCTCCCATTAAAGTGTTCCAAAAATTGATACCATGCCAACATGTCTTCTCAAATGTCATGGGACACGCTAACATGTGAGAACGTCGATTTTAATGAGAAATAGCCATATAAATTCTTTGAGAAAAAATCCTCCCTACATGCAAAACCCTGGTGGCAAAAGCCAATAGACCCAGAAGAGATTGCATTTCTTACAGGGTCACTTTCCTTTTTTGAACCAAAAAAATAAGTAAATCTTTGATGCGCAAACTTTTTTCATCTGGGAGCCTGAATTCCATATTCAAAGTATCTATAGTGATACCCAGAAATTCCAGGCAACATGAGGGAAAAAACATTTTTTCATGTGCAAGCAGAATTCCAAAAAAACTATCACATATGTTAATAAAATAATTCAATAATTGTCTACAGTCAGCTGTCCCAGCTGGACCCAAAAACAGGAAATCATCAAAGTAATTAATCAGTAAACTAGACCCCGACACCCGAGAAGTTACCTATTCCAGGAAGGTAGAAAATGCCTCAAAATAAAAACAGGAGATGGAACAACCTATTGGAAGGAATGTATTAAAATAAAAGCAATCCTGAAATAAAATACCCAATGAATGAAAACAGCTAGGGTGCACCGGTAACAAGCGAAATGCAGACTTGATTTCAGCCTTTGCCAAAAGCGCCCCTGGACCCAACTTCCGGAGCTTGCTTAATGCATCCTCAAAAGAAGTGTAACGCACTGAAACAAGATCTGAACAAATCTGATCATTCAGGAAAGTCCCTTTAGAAAAGGACAGATGGTGAATTAACCTATATTCATGTGGGTTCTTTTTTAAGGATTATGGCTAACGGAGAGATTCTAAAATTGCAAAAAGGCGGGAAAGAAAAGGGGCCAGCCAGCCTATCTGCCTGTAGTTCTTTAAACAATTTTTGTGGGACAATATTATGCAAACTGTCTACAGATTTTAGATTGGGCATTATAGTACAACCTATACCTGGGAGAGACAGTAAAACAAAACCTTTGCAACCATGGTCGCCTTGCGGCCAGGTTCACTTGAGACATTGCCTTTAAAAAATACTTCCCTACCTGGTTGTTGATTAGCATTGGCCATTTTTTAAAAACATTTTGTAATGGGGTGTGCTCACAAACAAAAGGCACACTCATGTCGGTATTTTCACGGAGCAGGACATTTGCATACAGCATCATTGAAGGAAAAACATATTCCTTTCCTGTAAGGGGTATTAGCAGCATGGGTAGTAGGTTATTTAACAAAGGACGACCTTTGCGGCAGAAAAAGATTGAGCCATAATCCCACATCTTTAATACCCCACTGCAATGAGGGGTGAACCTCTAATTTCTGCCTGAAAGATTCATCATAAACAAACCAAGAAATTTCACCAAAATTTTTATATGCTTCCAGGATAATATCAATGTGATGAAAAAGTCCAGAATTCCTATCCAGATATTTTTCACACATTACACTAGAAAAAAAATGCAAAAAGCCTGAAGCCAATTGTTAAAAGAATGAGCCACTGGCCTAGATCCTCTTCCGATTTTTCATCGTTTCTATCAGATTTACCAATAAATTCCTTAGAACATGGAAGCAGGGAAAGGCCATCTACAAAGTCACCTTGCCTATTTTTTCTTTAATGCCTCCAGAGAAGTGAAAGTCTAATGGCAAAATAAAACAGGGCAAAGATTTTTTTAACACCACTTGTCCTCCAAAGGATTTACCCCACTTCCTGACCAGGCCATTTTTTACATTACGGCACTGCGTTAATTTAACTGACAACTGCGCGGTCATGCAATGCTGCACCCAAATTAAATTTTAAGTCCTTTTTTTCCCACAAATAGAGCTTTCTTTCTATGGTATTTGATCAGCTGTGCATTTTTTATTTTTTGCATTATAAAAAAAAAAAGACTGACACTTTTGAGAAAAAAATCAATATTTTTGATGTTTTGCTATTAAACATGTCCAGTAAAAAAAATTAAAAAATCACATTTTGTCATAAATTTAAGCCAAAATGTATTCTGCTACATGTCTTTGCTAAAAAAAAATCCCAATCCTTGTAAATTAATTGGTTTATGTGAAAGTTATAGCGTTTACAAATGGCTGTATATATACTGGGATTTTTTTTTTAACTAGTAATGGCGGCAATCAGAGACTTATAGTTGGACTGCAGTGTGCATTCTGACACTGGGAGTAACTGACTTGGTGTCACTGGTATCCTCAGTGACACCAATACAGTGATCAGCGCTAATAAAAAGCACTGACACTGTACTAATGGCACTGGGCAGGAAGGGTTTAACATGTGGGGCGATCAAAGGGTTAACTGTGTGCTATGTGCTGTTTTGCATACTGGGCTGTGTTTGTGCTTCACTGTAAGCACACTGCTTTGTATAGCTGTTCTGTGCACAGCCAAGTAAAGCAGTGTGCAGGAGCTGACAGGGGAAATGCTCGGCAATCACTGGGCATCGGAGATGCTCGGTAATCACCGGGCACCGGCGAGTAATCACTGACCAGGACCACGTGATTGACAACCGAGACCGCGAATGGGGGCATGGGTAGGGCATGCATCCCCTAATGTAAAATCACATATGTATACATGATTTTGTGCATTGGTGCTGCCCTGTAGCACTACTTCTGCTATAGGGTGGATGAGAAGATGTTAAACAAGACTCAGGTACACTAGGTTTTGGAATGACTAATACTGTGTCAATATCATCAATATTAATACCGTCATTAGCAAAAGAACCACTGGATGGCGACCAAACAAAGCTGCAGTATCAGCAATATTCCTGGTAGAATCAACATTACCAACATTAGCCTTTTTAGACAAATCCTGAACTAACTTAACCACTTCAAGTCCGGGTACTTTTACCCCCTTCCTGTCCAGGGCAATTTTCAGCTTTCAGCGCTATCACACTTTGAATGACAATTGCGCGGTCATGCAACACTGTACCCATATGAATTTTTTTACCATTTTTTTGAGACAGATAAAGCTTTATTTTGGTGGTATTTATTCACCGCTGGGATTTTTTCATTTTTTTTGCTATGTAAATGAAAAAGTCCAAAAATTTTTTTTAAAAAGTGTTTTTCTTATAAAATTTTGCAAATAAATAATATTTCATCATAAATCTTGGCCAAAATTTATTCCGTTATCTTTTTAGTAAAAAAAATAAATAAGCCAAATTGGTCTATAACCAAAAATTATAATTTTTAAAAAACATTTTTATTTTTTTTTTTTATTATTATTTCTGGTTTTTTTTTGGTTTTTTTTTTAACATACTGTCACCCTAGCAGTACAGTGTCACCATGGGCGAAGGGATGAAGATTTTTTTTTTTTTTTTTTACACTGATTGCTTTTACACCCATATAGGATGTAAAAGCAATAATTTCTCTTTCTCTCTGTCTGCATTCTTGCAGCCATTGAAAACTACTGAGTGAACTGTGATTGGTCACAGCTTTTCAAATGGTACAAGGCTGTTGTGAATAGCCTTGTACCATGTGACCTCTGTGATCATTTACAGATTTCACATGTAGTAAGCATCTTGCTTACTACTTTGCATGTGATCACTGATTGGCCAATCAGTGATCACATGACCGGGACCTTGTACAGAGGTCCCTTCCGATGATCGGTGTTTCACTGTGTCCGGAGGACACAGCGGGCACCGGGTCGTGGTGCTGCGCGCTCCCAAGGAGCGCACACAAGCAGGGTGTGTGGGGAGGCCATTTATAAATGGCCACCACCCTGCACTGCCACCGCCCGGCCGTTTATATACAACAGCCGGACGGGAGGTGGTTAACTAAACTGACAGTTACATCAGTTAGTACAGTTAAATTAGGCAACTCTCCTGTCTCAGTTGTTCCTGTGGCAACAGCTCTTTGAGGCACCAGTGCTGTAGAACGGGCCACTGGGATGGTCCAGGTATCCACCACCAATGCTAAAGCTCCAGCACAAAGATCGTCTGAAGGTGCTTCTTCTGCTGCTGTTGCCGCCATTGCCACCTTCACTGTTGCTGGCTCTGCCTTCAATCCCTCCTCCACCTTGTGGAATGCAGGCATATGTGGAAGTGAGGCAGTCTTCTTTTGAACATGGCACATGCCAGTCACATGACCATCGAGTTGGCTGGCTGTGACCATGCCCCTGCCTTATTGAGCCTGCGTGGCAATCCGAGCCCAGCGCAGCAAGTGGCAGCAAGAGGAGGCTCTGGATCCTGCTTACATCACTCTGGAGTTCGAGAATATGTAAGTGCTGACCATAGGCAATGAGCCCACCCCGGATGACACAGTGGCAGATTTACATGTGACACCATTCCAGAGGAGGGAGCTGTTCCATTACGGGTTGACAAGCGTCCATCCATCCATTAAGGAGGCCTCTGGCTGGATTCCATCTGCACCCACCAAGGGAGACATCCGTATAGCTGTGTACCACCCAGAGGGAGGATAGTCCGTAAATGGCACAACCCATCCATCCCATCCTGAGAGGGGGACCTCTGGTTATATCAATTTACATGCGTATTTAAAGATACACATCTGGTGAGTGCGTATTTTTACTATACCTTCCTGACACACCACTGAAGTTTGAAGTCACCATCAACCCCTGTATCAAGCACTTTACCATGAACTGTCACAGCATTTATTTATTTTTTATATTTATTTTTAGATATTTGTACCATTTTAGTGCTGCACTTTATTATTAGGTGGTGAAGGGGAGTAATCTTTCCCTCCCGAAGCGCCGCCTCTTCCCCGATCTCCCGATTCTTGTTTCGCCCTCTCTGCTGATTCGCTGGCGGTGACCAGGAAGCAATACTGCATGCTCCTCTTCCTGTGGTCGTAACATGGAGACAGTGTTCTCCCCAGCAAGGACCAGGACTTCCACGGCATCCAACTGCTTGATGTCGATGGAAACGACTGCTTGACCCGATGTCCCAGGTAGGTCAAGGCAGCTCTTTAGCTACTCTTCTCCTCCTTCTACGCCCGCCCGCTCGATCATTTGTAGAGTCTTCATCTGTGTGCCTGGAGAGGGGACTCTGTTTGCTCAGTGTAGGTGGAGCACCACAGAGATGCCTCCCAGGTGTCTTCTTCCGCTATGATCAGAACCCCCCCTTTTATAGCCCTCTCCTTTCTCTTAGTCCTCTTCTGATTGGCCAATTTGCCTTCCAGGTATGCCCAGGTGCAGTTAGGGGGCTTAAAACTCCCAATTTTCTAGAAACGTCCTCATTAAATTTATATATAACAGGGGTCTTGAAACTTTTAACGGTTTTTTCTTCACCTCATAACAAATGTGGGAATAAACCTGCTGACCTTCTAGAAATTTCTCCACTGTAAATATACAGCAGGGAGACTTAACACTTTTCCCCTGCCACAGTCCCATAGGAAAAGGGGGTCCCATATTATATCCCCCTTTTCTTTTCCTATGGGTGAGAAAGCTTGTGAGGCAATCTGTCCTAGAATAACCAGTACCTGTTGACAATCATCTGTGCACCTGCTTCAGGCCTTACACCAATGGACCCTGCTCTAAACATTGGGTACAAGCTTAGTTTACATCAGAATGCAGTGACTAGAAAAATACACATAAATAGTGCTATGTCATAACATAAAAAACTCTAACATAGGTCCATATCCAATAAAAAAAAAAGAGGGAATAAAAAAGAAACTTCCACCAAAAAATAAAAAATGTGAAACGTTCAATTCGTTTCAGCAATGTAATAGCTCTTTAAGATAGGATGATCCACCATCAATGTGATCCTGCAGTGATTAACACCCCATTGAATTCAACACTCACCAGAAGCTGGTGAATAACCAGCAGTGGAAAATCAGTAGAAGATCAATCTCCTTAATAGTGAATGGTTGTGAATCCTCGAATTGAATAATCAACCAGCAGCCCAAAAGAACCTCCAGTCAGTAGATTATTAATCTCTCATGCTCCGATCTCCTCCTCATCCAGAGTGGATAATATCAATTCCATATATGTACAAAATAAAACAGCCACATAGTGTGATACCGTAAAACACATGTATTGCCATAAAAAAAACCCTTAAGAAAAGCTCTCACATTGAGTAAAAAGGTAATGCACATTGTAGGTAAACCTTCTAATAAAATGTCCGCCACTCACTGTGGCTAGTGACAGTCTCACCGCACACTGGTAACTGTATGATCTTACAACAGCAATCATGTCCTCTCACCACGTGGTTTTGGCGTGCGTGCTGACATCACGAATGGTCGCATTTCGTCATTCCGACTTCCTCTGGGGGTGTGGCCATACGTGAGAACGGGCGGCCTTATATAAGGTCACTCCTTAGACTATTGGTTAGATAATTCAACTCCTGACTGCCATCTTATAGATATATTCAAGCTGACAGATAAATTAGATCAATCGACAATTAACTTCATGGGCATTGTAAATTCTCCTTGTACATATCAAACACATTGCATCAGATTTAAATTGTAACCAACAAAACAGTTCAAAAACAACAAGCAAATAATTAACTAAATGCATAAAATTTAAACATAAATAAAATGAAATGAAATTAAATTAGATCACATTACTGTACATTGGAAATTAAATTAAATAATAAATATAAATAAATCATAACTAATGGAAAGTAATAAATAATGAACACATTTAAATCAAAACTAGTATACTAATTACTAATCAATCAATAATCACTAATAAAGCAGTTAATATCTACTTCGATATTTAAACCATTAGGTGTTAAAGCATCAGTAAGGTAAATCCATTTGGTTTCCCTTTTGGATAATTCCCTCACCCTATTGGAGCCACGCCACGAAAGGAGGATAGTATCAATTCCCCAAAATTTAACACAAGAAGGGTCCTTATTATGGTATTTTCTGAAATGCATGGAAACACTATGATATTTATATCCAATGGATATATTGTGTAAATGTTCATTAATCCTTTTCCTAAGATGTCTTTTGGTTCGAACAATATAGATCAGACCACATTGGGCTGAAGGGCCTGGTATGGACTGGGGGGATCTCCAGGTTGTTTTTTTTCTTAATTTATTTTAGCAGGCAATTCTTCTCTTTACATTAAGCTGACAGCTCATGACTTATCTGTAGTTAGGGACATGGTGGCTGGCTTGCCGGCCTGCTCCTTGACAACTAGCTATTCTCTGGTTATTAAGGATGTCGGGGGCAGCCCACTTTAACCGCTTCCCAACTGCCCTATATCAGAAATACTGCTACAGGGTGTCACGGGTGCACACAATCACGTATATATACGTGATTTTGCATTTCCGGGTAGGGGGCGCACCCTACCTGCGCCACAATTCACAGCTGTCAATCACCAGGTCCTGCCCGGAGATTACTGACAATCACCGACAGTGAGGAGGGCTGCTTTGTTTCCTAACAGTCCTCCTCCCTGTCGACTAGGACACACTGCTCTGGATGGCTGTGCACAGCCATCCAAAGCAGTGTGGTTACAGTGAAGCACACACCTCCGCCCCCTAGTAAAACACTCCCAGCGCACAGTTAACCCCTCATGTTAACCCCTTCCTGCCCAGTGCCATTAGTACAGTGTCAGTGCTTTATTTATAGCACTGATCACTGTATTGGTGTGACTGGGGATGTCAGTGACACCAAGGCAGGTACCCCCAGTGTCAGAATGCCTGCTATAAGTCGCTGATCGCCACCATTACTAGTAAAAAAAAAAATTCAGTTTATATCCCGCCATTTGTAAATGCTATAACTTTCACGTAAACCAATTCATTTACACGTATTGGGGTTTTTTTCTCGCAAAGACACGTCGCAGAATACATTTTGGCTTCAATTTATGCAGAAATTAGATTTTTAAAATTTTTTTTACTGGACATGTTTAACTGCTTCCGGCCGCCCTATAGTAGAAATACTGCTACAGGGTGGCATGGTGAGCAAACTCACGTATACATACGTGATTCACTCTCCCTGCTGTTTTCTCTCCCCTCCTAGACAGCGTCAGATTGCCCATCAGTACACCAGTAATCACATTTAACTCCTTGATTGCCAGGAACACGCTCACATACACAATAAACCTCTATTGCTAGTATAGTGTCTGAACGGATCAATATCTTTGATCAGAATCAGGCCTAATCTCTGTTAGCACTTGCCAGTCATTTTTTTTGTAGCGGTTAAAGCAGTCCCTGACAGCCAGATGCTTTTTCCCATGAGTCGCACTAGTTACCTATAAATTTAGTGGCCAAAATGTCAATGGAAAGGTGCCCTAGTGAAAAGGCCTACAGGATTCTGAGCATGCCAGATGAGAGCGAAGGGAAAGACTCACTGACACAATCAGCCTCAGAATACACACCTGTAGACAGCAACAGCACCCTGACAGATAGCTCAGGCGATGGAGAAGATGTCCCTGCTAAGATCATGCATACCCAAATCATATCCTAGGTTGCTGAGATGTTACAATCGCATGATGACTCTCATATGCAGCAGAGTGCCAGTACTAGTGCCGCTCTACCTTTTGGTGATCTGGTGAGCTCCAGCAGCCTAGTACATCCTGGTCTTTCACATACCAGCACTGCAGAATCACTTGGTGATGTGGCAAGTCCCATAAGTGCAGTACAAGCTGGTGAGGTGGTGAGCACCAGTAGTGTCTCACAGCCACCAAGAATTCGCACACAGGTCCGTAGAGCCCCTAGTATCCTTCCGGATGTACTTACAAATCTCGATTAGTAGCCCACAAATTCTGCAGCACCTGCACTTCCCCCATTCAATGCCCAACCCAGAATTCAGGTGGAAACAGCAAACTTAAATACTCCCCTTAATTTTATGGAGCTGTTTTTCACAGAAGATCTGTATACATTGATTGTGGATCAAAGCAATTTATATGCACAACAGTTTATCACCGCCAACTCAAACCATGCCAGACCATTACGGTTTTCCAATTTAAAGTTTTTTTGAGCCTAACCCCCAACATGGGCATTACTAAAAAAAATTAATTGCGGTTGGTTGTATTAGTCCACAGACCCGATTCATCATTTTCCAGTGTTCTCTGCTGCCTTGGCCAGGCATGGATATAAGAGTATAATGTGTTTTATGCATTTCAATGACAACACACTCTGTCATCCCTCAGGGTGACCCTGATTTGACTGGCTCCACAAAATTCAGCCCTTTGTACATCACCTTAACCAAAAAGTTTAAATGTCTATACTCCCCAGCAAAACATCTGCATTGATGAGTCTCTCATTAGTTATTCTGGCTGCCTTGCATTCAAACAATGTCTCCCCAGCAAGCGTACCAGATATGGGGTTAAGATGTATAATACCTGAGAGAAAGCAACAGGCTACACATATAAGTTTTGGATTTACGAGGGAAAAAGATAGTCACGTGGAGCCCCCCGAATGCGCAGGCTACATGGGGAGCAGTGGCAAGATAGTTTGGGACTTGGTGTCATCTTTTTTCCATACAGGGTACCACTTATTTGTGGACAATTTTTATTCAAGCATGCCACTATTTAGACATTTGTACAATCTTGGAATTGGCGCATATGGCACCGTGCAACCTAATCGCCGGGACTTCCCCCAACGGCTTGTAAATACCCGTCTTAGAAAGGGGGAAAAAGCCTGCTTGAGAAATGAGGATGTCATTCAGCTGCAGAACCGACTTGTTTATTCTGACAGCAACAGGATATTGCTCTCAGAATATACATAAGTAGGTGTATGCAGTGCTGTTAAAAAAAAAAACCATATATGCTGAAGCATGGGGTCCTGGGGGGGCCAGTGGGTGGATGGCACCTATGCTTCAGCATATATATTTTATAATATTTTTGGCACATTTCATGTGTGCCCACCATTAGAAGTGGGTGGATGCAGGGCAGTATATTCCAATGGTGGGCATACCACACACTTTTTCTGGCAGAGATCTCTTCTTTTTTTTTCATTCTGCCCAGAGGCTGCATAAAAAAAAAAAAAACATAGCATATACACCCAACAAGGACCAGCGACGTACTGGTACATCACTGGACTTTGAATGATTATACCAGGATGATGCCTGGTGAACAAAAAGTATCAGAAAAGGCTTGGTCTTCAGGTGGTTAGAAGAGTGTGTGATGTGTGGCATAAACCTCTAATGCTGGGCATAAACTTCTAATGCCGGGCAGCACAGTGGCTAAATGGTTAGCACTTCCGCCTGGCACCACTAGGGCCATTGGTTCAAATCCCAGCCACGGCAAAACCTGCCTGGAGTTTGCATGTTCTCCCTGTGCCTGCGTGGGTTTCCTCCGGGCACTCCGGTTTCCTCCTACACTCTAAAGACATGCTGGTAGGTTAATTGGATCCTGTCTAAATTGGCCCTAGTATGTGTATGTATGAATGTAAGTTAGGGACCTTAGATTGTACACCCCTTGAGGGTTAGGGACTGATGTGAATGTATAATATATATATGTAAAGCGCTGCGTAAATTGACAGTGCTATATAAGTGCCTGAAATAAATAATAAATAAATAAAATGCCCCCACCCTCCAAAATGATCCCTTTTTGGAATGTATATACCCCAAACTATTTGCTAAGAGGCATGTTGAGTCAATAGAAGAATTTATTTTTTTACCACAAGTTTTCGGAAAATGAAATACATTTTTTTTTCTTTTTTTACACAAAATTGAATGATTTACTGCTCACATATGCCATGGGTATATTTGGAATTACTCCCCAAAATACATTTTGCTACTTCTCCCAAGTATGGGGATACCACATGTGAGAGACTTTTTGGCAGTCTAGCCAAGTACAGGACCCCAAAATCCAATAAGCACCTTCCGGCTTTTAAAGGGCTTTATTTCCTCATTACATTTCTTGACTACCTACCACAGTTTCGGAGGCCGTGAAATGCCAGGATAGCACCAAAAATATTGTTTTTTTTTCCAAACTTTTCGGCCTTTTTTTGTATATAACATGAAAAAATAAAAAGCGCATAGGTGATCAAATACCAAAGCTCTATTTAAGTGAAAAAAGGACATACATTTTGTTTGGGTACAGCATTGCATGACCGCGCAATTACCAGTTGAAATAGTGCAGCGCCTAATAGCAAAAAAAGGCCTGGTCAGGAAGGGGGGTAAATCCTTAGGAGGGCAAGTGGTTAAACGCTAGCGCTCCTAAACTTAAAAGGCTCCTTTGCAAACGTTCCTAAGCGTTGGCAAAAAAGTTAATTATTAGTCTTTTTTATCCAGTGTTATTTATCACGTACCTGGTGTTAGAGGCCAATGCAGAGAGGGCTTCCCTTGTGGCTAAGTTCCAGGCTCCCCTGAGAGTGGGACAGCAGGAGTCAGACCCAAAGTGTCACGGGTCACCTGCAGGAGTGCTCGTTGGTGGTCTACCCAGGAGCACAGCTGATGCACTGAGATGGGATCTACAGACAGGTGCAAGATATGAAAGCCTTCCGGGAAACAGAGGATCACAGGATAGCCAGTTCAAAGCCGAGGTCAGGTACCAGGTGGAAATCAGAGCAGATGTAGTCAGATGGGATAGCCGAGGTCATACACAGAGGAGCAAGTGGGAATATCCGTTAGCCAAGCCGAGGTCAGATCAGGGGTCAAGCAGAGAAGACAGGTCCAAGAGCAAGCCGAGTCGGTATCAGGAAATCACAGATCACAATAGCACAGGAACAAGGTACTGGGAAGCCAGAGATCAACCAGCAACTGAGAGTAGTGCAGGGTTTCCTTATAAAGGCAGTTTGGAGCCAAATTTGAGCCGATGTGAACTTCTGCGGCCATGCAAGGTACTGGCAGGGGTGCCAGGTCTCCTAAACACATCTGTCGAGGACAGAGCCCTGACATTATTCCAGTGGTTTTGGGCAGGTACAGTGCATAGATCCTAAATGTGATATGCAGAAAACAACGTTTTATACAATACAGTAAAATGTCAGTCACTGCACATAGTGTGAATTCAGGCCAAGAGGTTCTTCTTGTTTTTAAATACTATTTTCACCTACCATGTCAAATCCCAACGTGGGGTGATGATCAGGAAACCTTCACTTAAGCTCATCATATACATTTGACTGTTCAATATTTGTACATCAAATATAGAATAGCCAAAACTTTACTATGAGGACCTACCTAAAATACCCAATCAGTCTATATCCAATTAATCAGGCTTTTGCACTATAAGGCCGCATGCATACTGGACATACAAAGTGATTCCTATACAGACATTTGGCGTTTTTTCTTTCAGCCTGTAGAAGCAACTCTGTTAGCCTATGTGTCCATGTACATTTGGACATTTATAAGCATATCTGTAGAGAAACAGGCTGAAAAACATCCATCACAAGTGCATTTTTGAGACGAACTTTTGGGCAGAAAAAACTCTTGACACACCTAAACATGTGATACTCCTGATGACATAATCTTTGACGAAACTAGGCCAGAGACGGAACACACGCCACTACGCATACGTGATCCTGCAGCAGCCATCTTGGATTCTGGAATACAAGCTGTTTATATGTTATGAAGTGCCTGATTGTCATCTTTTCATTTACCACATCAAATCTGTGTTTTAACCTGGATTACACTATGGAGAGCCTGTCTTTTTCTTTTTCATGATACTATGTCCAACTGAGTATTTATGAACAGTGATCTGATATAATGCAGCAGTACCATCGTTTGATATGTGGTTTTGAGGAAAGCTGGATATCTTGGATTGATACACAAGTGCCGGTTGACCACTCTTAATTGGGGGTCATATGATTCTGCTAAGCCTCCCTTTGTTGTACACCAAGGTGCTATGTGGTTCATCATTAA